CAGAGTGTGTGTGTGTGTGTGTGTGGGTGGGTGTGGGTGTGTGTCTGTGTATCAGTGTGTGTGTGTGTCTGTGTATCAGTGTGTGTGTGTGTGTGTGTGTCTCTGTGTATCAGAGTGTGTGTGAAACAGTCTGGCACAGTCTGATGCAAAGTCCGACGAAACAGTCTGACACACAGACACACTGACACACCGACACACAGACACAGACACACTGACACACTGACACACTGACACACAGACACACTGACACACTGACACAGACACACACATTCACACACATACACACACACACAGACAGACACACACATACACACATACACAGACAGACAGACACACATACAGACAGACAGACACACACACACACACACACACACACACACACACACACACACACACACACACCGGCGCTCCCCAGGCCCCTCCAAAGCCCCCCCTGCGACCGTTATCGGCCCAGGCGAACCCCGTTCGCGGGCCTTGAAAACACATTCTCGCGAACGTGTTCTCGACCCGTTCGTGCGAATGTGTGCAGGTCGCAACGACGAGCAGCAAGTTCGCGGCCGGCATGGTCAAGGAGAGATTTGATCAAGGAGCAGCACGTTCGGACCTCTCAGACCCCCTAAAAAAAAAAAAAAAAAAAAAGCCCCGCACGGATCCGCAAGGTGCGGTACACGTAGCGCACGTCCCGCACATTCCCGCACCCACACAGCCACCCCCCGCACGGATCTCCGCACGGATCTGGTCTGTGCGGGTGCGGAATGTGCGGAGATCGAGCACCTCCTGCACGCCGTACTCCACACCGCACCACACGAATGTGCGGCTCGTGCGGTTGCAGGTATGGTTTGGATGTATCAGTCAGCAGTCATGGCCAGATTCACACGGCGGGTACTTCGTCTCCTTTCCTCTTGCTTGAACGCTGTCTTCTGTGCCACTCGCATTCTTGCCGCTGATGAGCCTGAAACGTGGATGACGTGAGATCTACACCACGGGTCGACCTCCCCTTCTCTGGCTGCCATGTCTTATTTGTTGAATTTTGTTCTTATTTTCCCCTTCTTTTTTGTTATGTAACTTCTGTTGTCCTTTTCCATGACTTTCCAAGCCCCATTCGTAGTGTAACCCCCAGTGACCAGTACGCGGTTTGATACATGAGGCAGAGACCTCCAATACTTTTTATATTTCATCATTTTCACGTGCTCATTTACTTCCACCCCCCCCCCCCCCCCCCCCCCCCCCCCCCCCCCCCCCCCCCCCCCCCTCTCCCCCCCCCCCTCTCTCTCTCTCTCTCTCTCTCTCTCTCTCTCTCTCTCTCTCTCTCTCTCTCTCTCTCTCTCTCTCTCTCCATACATAATATATATTTGTATATATCAAATACAGACATGCACAGAGGAGGTTAGGAACATGTCAATTAAAAGGGTTGATGGAAGGATCGGTGGCAGGGGCAGTTGACCAGGACGAACAGAAACGCACAAAGGGAGGCCAGGAGCGCCTGCATTGTCACAAAAAAACAAACCAGTGAACTGTCATAAAACAGCACACAGATACACACGATACACACAAACACAGGGTGAGAGGAACATGCTAGGAATCATGCAGGAGAGGCTAGATGCGCGAAGATTGCTAGGGATCATGCAGAAGAAGCGAGGGTGAGAGGAACAGTTGAGCTGATATAGGAACAAAGGGAGGGGAGAGGCGGTAGGACGTGCAGATCAGATGGCAGAGCAGGAGAGAAGGAGGTTGAGGACTTGGCAGGGAGAAGCAGTGGTGAGTAGGGAGCCAGAGGTGGCGGGGAAAGAGGAGGAGGTGTAGAGATAGAGCAGCACAAGCGGTTAACGGGGACCCCAACGTTCAGCTCATGACTAGCGACTCCAAAACTGAAATTAGGGTTTGGGGGTCAAATTTTATGTTTTTTTGTTTGTTTGTTTTTTCCTGTTTTTGTTATTGTTTTGGTTTAAGCCAAAAATTTGGTATCATTTCAGCCATTGGAATTTCCTCTGATGAGATTTCTTAAATTTCTCGAGATATCTGAAATTGGAAGGTTGGCGAAATTTCATGAAAGTGCACTTTTGCCTTGCTGTTTTATAGGTTTTTTTAGTTTTATGATCTACACTCTTTGAATCGGTGGCAAATTTGGTTAAAATGACCCTTGGGTTTTGTTATAAATGGCATGAGAAGTTGTCTGAAAATTGAGGCCTCCGTTAACGGCCTCTCAGATTATTCTGAGATACTGACTTGCGGGTGGACGCAAGGATTATTTTGAGGTAGTGAAATGCAAGTGGAAGCAATACAGCAAGAAAGAGGTGGAGGTGCAGAGATGTTGATAGATGGAGGACAAGCAGGTGCAAATGGAGGAGTGGTTTCAATCCCAATCTCAATCCACTGTATTCTCTTTCTTCCTTTCCTCTTCCTCCACTTCCTCCTGGGCTGCCTTCACCTCCTCATTACGACACTCCGCCATTTATGACACACTATGATCGCCACCTCCCCAATCAGATAATGATGCAAGAAGTCAGATTCAGCTCTCTGCCTCTGACAATAATGAAGATGGACGCTCTTATGAGACACAACACCGTCTAGCGTACACACACAATCAGGCAGCATTGTTTACATTAGCAGTAGCATGGAGGCACTTAAGCTGTCATTGAGGTAAAAGAACCAGAGGGATTCAACTCACAATTTCTTAAGGTAGGTCAAGTTTCCCAGATCGGCAGATAGCTTTCCCCCAAGAAACTTGCCACCAAGATCCCTGTCAATACAATGCATTCCACCTGTCACGGTCAGACGCTCCATTCAGATTACAGTAAAGTTGTACATAAGCTCCACTCGCAATACAATAAAGTTGTAATCTAGGCTACCAGAGTGGCCTGGGAGCACTTGCCCGGTCGGGCCAAAAAAATAAAAATAAAATAAATAAATAAATATCTATATAGTATATATACTATTATATAGTCAAACAGATATATCGTCAAACATATAAATTTTCTAATTTTATTTTTTGCTTTGAATTTGGTAAAGAATTTGGATGTGACCCTAAGGCAAAAGTTGTTCAGTTTATTTTTCTGCATAACATAGTATTTTTCGGATTTTTTGTTTGTTTGTTTTTTCGCTGGGACCTTCCCTGGTCCTTGCACGGCCGAGCTGCCCGGGAAAACAAGGTGACCCGGGCGGCCCAGCTGGTAGCCTAGGTTGTAATGAACGTCATGCCTGGAAACTCACAAGAGTGTTCTCTTTTGAGTCTTGGTCCTGTAGTGTTGTAGGTCTATAGCCATAGCCATGATGACCCTTCTCTTTGCCTTGCCCCCGGCCACTCTACAGCGATCTATAGCCATGACATGATGGCGCGCTCTCTTTACCCCCCCACCATCCCTGCCCTCTATTTTTGTACCCTTCCTCCTAGGACCACTCTTTCTCCCACTCTTTCTCTGTGTTACAGCTCTTCACCCTCCTCCTTCGCCCTCCCCCCGGAGGGGAGGGGGGGAAAGAGAAAACGCCATCATGTCATGGTTATAGACAGCAATGGAATGGGCGGGGCCAGGGCAAAGAGAAAGGGTCATCATGGCTATGGCTATAAAGTCTAGACCTATCTTTGTCCCCTTCCTCCTAGGACCACTCTTTTTCTCCCACTCTTTCTCTCTGTGTTACAGCTCTTCCCCCTCCTCCTTCCCCCTCTCCCTTCCCAACCCCCTTCCCCTACCCTTCCTAACCTCTTTTCCTGGCCAGCCTCCCCCTACTCCATCTGTGCCTCCTCAGCTCCTATCCCACTGTCATCCTCCCCCCTCGTCAAAGTACCCTCCCGCTCCTCATACCTCCGACCTACATTCCTTGTCAATCTCGCTCTCCCCGTATTTCTCACTCTGATCCTCCTCCTTTATGTTGCCCTCATCATCACAGATTTGACAAACTGCAACCGGATGCTTCAAGCAGCAGGAGCGCCAACACCTCCAGCACATCAACACAAAGGAAATAGAAAAAGCAGAGTTAATTCATCATTGGAGTATAAAAAATGGAGAATGGGGAGGGGAAAATGGAAATGTGAGGTCCACACAACGAGGGCTAAGACTCCGCATATACTCCGCAAAAAGACTCCTTCAGCCAGAGAAAGGAAGAAGAATTTATCCAGTCTAGGCAGGCAAAAGCTGGAAACCATCCTATGGCATTTATAGCAGGGCTGGGCCGGCAACTGGGCGGTTGGGCCAGCCAGCATCCAACTGGGCCGGATCGCCCCCAGGTGGTCCAGCCGGAATGCCGGTGGGCCCAAAAGAAGTCCAATTCCTCCCCCTCCCCCCCCCTCCCCCTCCTCGAATTCATGGTTGGTCCTGTCTCTTATACACATCTAGATGTGTATAAGAGACAGGTATGAAGGTGTTGGTGGGGTTATTGTTTTTTCTTTTTTTTGTACATGGTGCTGACCGACAGCCAACTGGTAGGTGCCGATCGGTGGAACGGTCAGCTGGCCAGCTAAAATAAAAAGTGCCATTTTTTAAACCAAAAAAAAGAAAGTTGTTATACAGCATATGGTGATGAGAGTGAGGAAGGTACGAAGGGGTAGGATAAAATTAAGTAGCTGAGGGTCAAAGCCAAACACAATTATGCGGATTCAACCAGAAGGGCCATTATACGAACAACTTTTACATGAGGGTCATAGCCAAAAAAAAAATCCATAGTGCAGATCAACTGGAACGTACGGATTCCACCAGACTCTTCATAAACAGGATTGTTAAGATATCTCAAGATTTCCCGGCCTTTTGGCTAGGATCAAGTGTAGTATCTGTTCTGATCAGTTTAATATCCGATCCGAGGTACATTGGGAAAAAAAAAAAAAAAAAAAAAAAATCTCTCTCAAGATTTGTTCAGCTGGACAATCAGGCAGATCTATGATCATTTTTTTTTTTAACAACCTTTATTACTCAGGCTGGAAACCTGGTCCAGTGTCCCTTACATATAATACCCACTCCACACCGTCTCCCATTATGACTGAAGGATCCTGAGACTGTGGCATTGATTGCTTCCCCTTTCAACGCATCCCTCATCCGATCTTTTGGGGTCAGCACCTGAAGTATCGAGGCAAAACTTCTGGACCTGAGATGCTTCTTTCTGGCAGAGCTCGGGCCAGGAAACTCATATATACAACTATAGCCAAGGATATGAAAATTACAATCTGTTGTCTTGATGCAAGACAACAGATTCTTTCAAAAGCTCTCCTCTTTCGAGTCAGTCGTTACGGGGTAACATGCCGTATCCAATGTTCAGTCAAAAACACAGCATAAGCACACTTTCTCTTATACTCTTGCTTGCTCCTGATGCCACTTGTATCATGAATAAGATGTATTCATGCCCGCAAATCCAACAGGACCACAAATGCCATGACTGTGAAAATGTCCATGTCCAAGAAATTCCGAGTCCACAGAGGAGATGAGCGAACCTGAAGTTTTCCGACGTTGCAACATTATCTGGGACGTCTCCCGATAGCTGGTTGTTGCTGACATCACTGCCATCCATCCACAGACATCGGGCATAAATCACTTCGATGAATCACCAGGTTGACCGATGTCCAACGCGCATGTAATCTTACAAAGCCATGAAAAGAAGCTTTTTGCTCCCCAAAGAGGCAAGCTAAGGAAATGGCCAGAAATTTGCAGAAAAGTTGAGAAAACCAGAATATTTCCCCCTTCCAACCCTTTCCTGTTTATTTTTTCTTTCCACTTTCTGAAGGAAATATGACCAACGGCTCCAGTTCCTTTTTATTTTTTTTTATTTTTTTTGGAGTGCAGCAAGCAAAATGAATCATGGCATCACTTTCATTCTTTTCTATCATAATTGCCATAATACTGACCTCATGCATGGTGGGTTACCGCGTGAAAACATGTGCAAGAGACCGGTTGCATGTTCAATCCTTGGATTGGACATGCACATGTTTTCATGCGGTAACCCACCATAGAGGTTACACTACAGTTGTGTGGGTGTGAGAGGCGTCGTATAAGTGTGGTTGGGTATAGCGGGTCATGGAGTAGTCTCCTTCACACAAGTCACAGTGCCTTTCTCTGTTGCACACACACACAGACACAGAGGGAAAGAGGAGAGAGAGAGAGAGAGAGGGGGGAGAGGGGGGGGAGAGAGAGATGCGAGGATCTGTGTCCTCGGCAGGCCTAAGGGGCACTGTTGCGAATGTGCCCGCCCTAAGTGCTGTCTCTTATACACATCTAGATGTGTATAAGAGACAGCACACACACACACACACACACACACACACACACACACACACACACACACACACACACACAAACACACACAAGAAGAAGAAGAAGAAAAATAACTCTGGCTATGGCTTACCTTTTTTAGCATGGGCTGGATGCAAAGGCGCAAGAAGCAGGAGCGCCCGGGCGAAGGCACACAGGCTGGAGGCGCGCGGGTGTAGGCGTGTGTGGTGGAGGCGATGCCGCACGAAGTGTCGAAGGCTGCTGCTGCGGAGTGACGGCCGGTACTGAGCAGTGGATTGGGGCGGCGTGGTGTAGTCAGGCCACTAGGAAAACAGCAAGGGCTTGTACGTCCCAGTAAACTCTTGGCTGCATGGAAAAAGGAATAGACAAAATAGGATCGAGGGGGAGCAAAACTGCTCCATGTGTATGGGGGGAATACCGGAAACTATGGTTCACTGTTTACTCTCTTGTCCGGAAGCGGAGAAGGTATGGGCATTAGCTCGTACACTTTGGGCTCGAGTTATGGATGCTCCCTTCCCATCGATCAGGGATCGGCTTCTAATAGGAACTGAAGCACCCAAGGGATGGAAATCAAGTCAAAAATGTATTTTTCAGCTGCTGAGGCTCTACACRTTATGGACAGTGTGGAAAAGAAGATSCCAACAGGTGGTGGGCAAAGACTCGACGACCATAATGGAGGCTAGAGCAACTCTATATAATCTGCTCGAGACAGACATCAGAGCCCAATGGCAGCGCGTTAAGAAGCAAGCTGAGAAGCAGGAAGAGGTGAACCCGGAAAAGGCCAAGGACATAATCAACAAATTTCAGACTAAGGTCTTAGCTGCAGGCAAAGTGSCGACACTGGAAGGGAAGGCATTGCGCTTCCATTGGTTTAAGGAGGATCACCAGGACTCATCGCAAGAGGATATGCGGCAGGATCAAGAACAGGGGCAGCCTTAATCCAAGGGAAGGCGAACACATCCCAAACGAACGAAGAAGGACAAAGGAAAGGAAAGAGGAGGGGGTCACAGGCTTAGGGGTTAGGGTTTAGGGTTTTAGCAGGGGTAGCGCAGTGGCAAAGGGATAGGGAAGGGTGTTTTCTGGTTTTTAAAATATAGCTCCTGAAAAGTTAACATGGGAGGGAGGGAATAAGCCGAGGTCGACGACACTCGACAGCAAGCAAGGGAATGTACATAAGGATGTCTTATCACAAGGACCGGGGGAACGCATCCCTGCCGACTTCAAAATGGTAACTCAGAGGGCTGAGACATYRGCGGAGGGTCTAAGGGTTTTGGACTGGGAACTATTCAAGTGCACGGRAGGAAAGGAGGAATGAGAGGGGATCAGATTKAAAAGGTCAACRGARGGGCTCTTTCTAGGTTTAACGATACTATCTGGCAGACAGGGATGATCAGTCTGAGAGGGAAGAGAAGGGCCTGGGCAAGCTGGCAGTCAATCCTCCACAGMRGTGGAGTAATCAATGCTGACCAGGGGTCCTTYGGCCAGACGGAAGGAAGCGTGTGTGAGTAACTTTACATGTAATTTTCTT